CAAGGCCGTCCGTATCGTGGCGGTCGCACGCTCGCATCGCGCACCGTGCGCCATGCACGCCGCAGTCAACTCTGGGCCTCTGGCACCACCCAGGCCAGGCGCATCGGATGGCCTCCAGACTCGGGGATGCTTAGGCGTACACCGCCCTGACGAGCGCGTCGCCCTCGTGCATGGCCGTGCCAATCCACGAGGTGAGCTCCAGGGCCAGGTCGTCCGCCAGCTCGATGAGGTCCAGCCACCCCTGCGGGACCGCGTGGAGGCTGGCGCCCTCCTTCGCTCGACCGTCGGCCCTGGCGTTCCACACGCGATGCCGATCGGAGCTACGCTCCTCGCGGACATCTTGCTCCGTGAAGTGCCGTGGTCCTCGACGATCCGCCAGAAGTGGCACCACATCTCGCGATCCGCCCTCCTCCGCGCAATGCACCACCGCTTCCCCGCAATCCATCCATCATAGACAACGGGCGAGTCCGGGTATAGGATGACCGGACCGATGCAATGTCGGAGGGCCACGACAGCTGCCTGCAGCTCGCCCGCGCCGCTGTCCTGCGGGAGCGCCACGCCACGCCACGCCACGCCACGCCACGCCACGTGTACTCGGCGTCGTTGGCCCACGTCGTCACCGCGGCCCAACCTGCTCGTGCGAGCTGGCGATCGCGGGTGCACACTGCCGAACCATCCAAGAACACCTCGCGCGCACCATGACGTCGCCCGGGTGGCTGCCCTGGATGACCAAACGATGCGACCAAGTGGAGTACGGTGATGATGATGATGATGATGATGATGATGATGATGATCATGATGATGATGATGATGATGATGATGGTGATGATGATGATGATACTGATGACGATGATGATGATGATGATGATGATGATGGTGATGCTGATGATTTTGATGATGCTGGTGGTGGTGATGATCATGACGATACTGATGCTGATGATGACAACAATGATGATGCTGATGATGATCATGGAAGTGATTATGCTGATGATGATGCTAATGAGGATGACGATGATGATGGTGACGGTGATGATGCTGCTGCTGTTGATGATGACTATGATGTCGATGATGATGATGAGGATGATGATGCTGATGATACTGATGATGATCATGATGATGATGGTGATGATAATGATGACGGTGGTGATGATGACGATGATGACGATGATGATGATGACGATGATGATGATGAGGATGATGACGACGACGACGATGACGATGACGATGACGGCGACGATGATGATGGTGATGAGTGTGATTATAATGATGCTGCAGGTGATGATGATGATGATGATGATGATGATGATGATGGTGTTGATGATGCTGATGATGATGATGATGATGATGATGATGATGGTGGTGAAGAGGAAGAGGACGAGGAGGATGAGGAGGGTGGTGGTGATGATTATGACGACGATGACGGCGGCGGCGTCGACGACGCTGCTGATGGTGTATGGCGGTGATTGTGTTGATGATTATGATGATGGTTATGCATGTGGTGGTGGAAATGTCGACGACGACGGCGATCGTGGTGATAGTTACTGATGCTGATGATGGTGGCGTTGCGATGGGGTGATGTTGTGATCATGAAGTTGTGCGGCGTCGTGATGCAGATGTTGCTCGTGCTGCTGCTGCTGATGGTTGTGGTCATGACGGTGATTGCTTTGCCCTTGGCAACGATGCATACACAACGACGCAGCGCCCCTGCAACGCGAACCGAGGGCGCAGCGATCCCCAAAGCATCGGCGATGGCCGAGCTTCTGACGCACACTGTGGTACCGATCCTCTGCTCAAACAATCCGATGAGGTGCGCTGCCAGCAAAAGTTGCTCGGGTTCCTTCGTTAACTATGAAGGGGGAGGCAAAGAGGAGGGGGAGGGAGGAGAAGGGAACGACATCAAAACAACAACCCCCATTCGAGGAGGGAGGAGAAGGGAACGGCATCAAAACAGCAACCCAAAATTCGAGCCTGCCTGCTGGACACCAGCGCCGTCCAACGCAAAGCGCCAGAGGACTCGTCGCCGAGACCCAACCAAGGCCAACAACGGAAGGAGCTCGGCAACGTCAAAAGGTGCGCACCACGATCTGCGAAGCCCAAAGCTCTGGCGGACCATCGGGGGCCAGAGGGAACCCGACAGAGGGCAACTACACAAGGCTGCCGCGCGAGATGCAAACAAAAAACACACACACAGTGGAAAACAACACACACACACAAAACACACACACACAAACCACACTCTGTGGGAGAAAACACACACAAAACACACTGTGTGTGTGTGTGTGTTCTGTCGGGCTCCGCTCTGGCAGCGCAAGGAATCATCAGGGACCAGATGCATCACAACAGCAGGGCCATGCCTGCAGCGCCCAAGCCCCGGGCGGACCCTGCAGCGCCTGCTGACCCTAGGCCGAGGAGAGAAGGCAAGCTGCAAACTGCGACATCCGGAAGCTTGCACCGCTGAAATTCAGGCTTCAGCAGAGGCCGCCCAAAAACTCGACACAGGAGAAGAGAAAAAGGAGGAGGAGGAGGAAGGGAGGGAGGAGGGGGAGGAGGAGGCGAAGGAGGAGGAGGAGGAGGAGGAGGAGGCGGAGGGGGGAAGACGGGGAAAAAAGGGAAAGGCGCTTTGAATCCCGCGCGTTCACTCGAGCGTTACGCCCGTGCACCCGTCGATATCACTGTCGCCGCCTGGACTCACGGGGTTGGCCAGGATGAAAGCGCCCGGGAAAGCACCCCGGAGGTGCCTGCGGGAGCGCCCGGGAAGGCTCTCCAGAGGTGCCGGCGGGAGCGCCCGGGAAGGCTCTCCGGAGGCGCCTGCGGGAGCGCCCGGGAAGGAAACCGTCCTCCAGCTCCGTCGCGACGTCCGAGCTCACCGTGTCCTCCTTGTCGAACTCGCCCAGCATGGTGTCTCTCCTCGAGTCCGCGGCCCCGACGCGGAGGCACCCAGTGCTGATCTCGCAGAGCTCCTGGGGGATGGCGGCCAGGCGCGTCTTATTTGCAGATGATGGCGAGCCTCTCCTCGAAATCCTTCGCACTGTCCGAGGCCGCCCTGCTCCCGGTCATACCGCACCCGAGCTCGGAAGCCTGGTTGTCAGAAGAGCTCCTGGGTGATGGCGGCCAGGCGCGTCTTATTGCAGATGATGGTGAGCCTCTCCCCGAAGTCTTTCGCAATGTCCGAGGCCGCCTTGCTCCCGGTCATGCCGCACCCGAGCTCGGAAGCCCCGTTGTCAGGCAGCATGGACAGCAGTTGCGAATTCAAGTGTGCACAGCGGCAGCATAGAGTTCCATATGACCTCCGAAGGCTTGTCGAATTTCGCATCGGGCTCGATCGTCTTTGCATCAACCTTCTTCACCTTCTCCTTCTTCACAGAACACTTGTCGTCCTCGGAGGTGAGGGCGAAAGACTGGTAGTCTAGATCCTCGATGCCCGTGAGATTCACTGGCATCACGGTGTCGACTTGCGGCTCGTTCGACAACACATTGACGACCTTGGCGTAGATGGCCCCTACCTTGTTCACTTCTCCCGGCAGGAAGAGGTTCCTGAGCTCGTCGCTAACTTCAGCGACCGCGGCGGGAGTACTGAAGCCAAGCATTCTGCACCCTCACCGCCACCCGCCAACCACACGCTCGGCCAGCATCGCTCCCGCGCCTCAATGGGCGCCCCACGCGCGGCGCCCTCGTCGACGCAGGGCGCGCTCCATGGAGCCAGAGCCAGTGCCTGAGCCATGGTCATGACGATGATCGATGCTGGTGATGCGGATCCCTTGTTGATGATGCTGGTCGATGATGACGCTGATGATGGTGCGGATCTTGATGATGATGATGATGAAGATGATGATGATGATTGTGATGATGATGATGGTCATGATGATGATGATGATGATGATGATGATGATGATGCTGATGATGATGATGGTCATGATGGTCATGATGGTCATGATGATGATGATGATGATGATGATGATGATGATGATGATGATGATGATCGATGCTGATGCTGATGATGGTCATGACGATGATCGATGCCGGTGAGGCGGATCTCTTGGGGTCGGCGCTGGACACCGCTGGCGGCGCCCCCCCTCCCCAGAGGTCTGGCGCTGCGCGAGGCCGCCGCTTCGCGCCCGCGGGCCAGGCGCGGGCCGGGCGCGGGGGCGGGCGCCGCAGGGCGGCCAGAGGTGGCAGCGGGGCGGCGGGGGGCGGCGCGAGGAGACACGAGCGGCCGGCGAGAGGAGGAGGAGGAGGAGGAGGAGGAGGAGGCCCCAAGAACCCTCGGCAGCAACAAACAGCGGCTCGGGCTGAATGAGCTGGTTCCAGGAAAGAGTCGACGACTCCGAAGGGTGTGGTTTGCAAAGGGTGTGGTTTGCGACGCGCACCCTGGGGTGCGGGCGAGGACGTCGACGACGTCGACAGAGTTCTCCGTCGCTACCCGAGGAGGCCCGCCGAGGGCAAGGTGGCGCCCCCCAAGCTCCAACGACGCAGATCGCAAACCACACCCTGGCGTAACCGCGCCCATTGTGACCCAGAGGCCTCCTAGATGGGGTCCGAACAGATGGGGCCGGAGGCCGGAGGATTGCAACGCATCGCCGATATATCGCCGATGCATCGGCGCCGTCGGCGATACATCGGCGACGTCGGCGTGGATAAAATCGGACTCCGCCTCGAGCCGCCTCGCCGATGCATCGGCAATGTGGCACAATGCTCCGACCCCATCTACTTCAACCCCATCAGGGAGGGCCTAGATTTACCAGCCTGGAACATATCCCTATCCCTATGTTGGGCATCGCCTCATCACGATGGCGATCTTAGGGATTTCCTCAGTTTCTGGGGGTGAATCCCTAAGATTGTCATCTCCTTTTAGCGTGTCAATCTTAGGGTTAGAAATAAGTTCGAGGCTGGTGATAGATCGTGCCGAGAGAAGGGGGCGAGAGCTCCCGGGGCACACGTCGTGAGCACCACGCGCCGGGGGTCCGGCGAGGAGGCCAACGAGGGGCGGGCGGCCAGCGACGTCAGGGAAAGATGTCAGAGAAGGGCCTGTAGAAGACTGCCCGCCAGGTGCTATAGATCGTGAGCAGTGTGAGACCAATGAGGGAGTACATGATCGGCTCCCTCATGAACTCCGTGGTGGCCTCAAGGGCTCCCAGCTTCGCGCTTCGCGCTGCGCGAAGCGCGAAGTGCGAATAACTTCCTGCTCTCGCGCCGCCTCCCAGGGGAGAAGAGGAGGATGAGGAATCGGAGCCGAACCGCGAAGCGCGAAGCGCGAATAACTTCGCGCCCTCGAGGGCGCCCTTGTGGCCTGGTCTGCCAGCCTCGACAGCTGATCGCCCAGCCTGGACGCGTCCGCGTCCACGGCCCGCTCGACGATCGGCTTGCCCAGCCACTCGCCCGCCACGCCCTGGTGGGCACGCGCATGTGACCCCCCCTCGCAGAAGCCTAGATCTTTGGAACGTGCCCAGGCAGACGGCGGCTCAAAATCGCGACCACCAGTTTCTCTCAACTTTGGTCCACATGGAATCGTGCTTCGAGCTCTGGAACCGTGCGCGGGGTCGAGGTCCTAGGGGCCCATGGTTCAAAAACTCGAGACGCCGAATGTCTGGGTACCCCTGCGAGTCAGACTTCTGGAACATGCTGCGGGGCTCGGATTTCGAGAGATGCCAGCGACAAAATGTACCTTCGCGGGGTGGCCCGGATACCCTAGTATCGCTTGGGGCTGGGGGGGGGGCAGTAGGGTGACCATATGCTTGCGGACCTGTGTGAATGCCCAGCCAGGTCTGTTCGCAAGCTTCAGGTACCGCTGCCCATCGCTCCCCTCAACCTCCTCTACGACCTCGAAGACGGACCCCGGCGCGATGGCCCCCAGCTTCTCGCTGCCAACGTCCGGCTCCTTCCGGAGCATGATCTTGGTCACGGCGCGGTAGGAGAACGTGACCTGGCCGTCGCTCGGACGCCCCCTCCCTGTGCTTTCTTCGGCTTCGTACGTGGCTTTTTCGCCACATGGTCAAGGATACTCATCGATGGTCCCCGCCGAGGAAAAAACGCACACGTCCGAGCGATGCCAAGTGACCTTTGGCACCTTCAGCCCGTCCTCCTTCTCGGCGGCCGCCTGGGGCTCCGCCCTGCGCACCACCCCGGCGGCACCTGCCCGGCGGGCCCGAAGCCCGGGGGTGGGGCCCGAGGCCGAGGCGCTTCTGGGGAGGGCGGCAGCTGAGGCGGCATCCTCTTTCCTCCGCGTCCTCCTCCTCCTCCTCCTCCTCCTCCTCCTCCTCCTGATCCTCCTGATCCTCCTGATCCTCCTTCCTCGTCCCTGGCCCTCTTCCCCGTCGTCCTCGTCCTCGTCCCTCGCCTTTCGTACACTTCCTCTTCCTGGTATCTCCCCCTGCTGCTCCTTCTGTTCCTGCTGCGCATCCTCCCCATCCTGTTCTCCTCTTCTACACTTCCTCGCCTCATCTTCTTCCCATCCTCCCTTCCGCACCCGCATCGTCGTGTGCATCCTCCCCCTCCTCCTTCCCCCTGCCCTGCTGCTCATTTTTGCTTGCACGCCTCCTCCTCCTCCTCCTCCTCCTCCTCCTCCTCCTCCTCCTCCTCCTCCTCCTCCTCCTCCTCCTCCCCCTCCTCCCTGCATGTCAGGACTGGCGCGCATCCCACCGAGCAAAGGACGAGATGGGGGGCGGGTGGAGGACGCATTGGGAACTTCGTGTTCTCGTGCGGACGCCGAGCGTTCACGGGCGTTGACGGGCTCTCGCAAGCTCTGCTGGGCCATCGCTCACCTGCGCCCACTGGCAGTCCCTCTCTGTGGAAACCGCCTGGGGGAGTATGAGGAAGGGGGGAAGCGATTGGAACAGGGGGTTCCTGGTCTAGATTCCTGGTCGAGGCCGATCGCGATCAGGGATACGCAAGGGGGGGGGCCTTCTCTGATCGTTTGCCCACATAAGGCCACACCAGATTCCGCGCTGCGCGATCAGCCTTGCGGCATCGAGGGGCGACCTTAGGGGAGGGATAGGGGATGCATCGACCCCCGATCGCCCATTGATCCCTCCCCTCACAAGACTGTGCGGACTCGGGCGTTGGCAGAACTGGGTTTAGCGGGACCTGGTTCAATGATGTGCACTGGGGGACGCCCCACCCCCCGCCCGTTCCACTGACCGGAACTGCCGTCACCCGAAAAAACACCAGCTACGGCAGACCTGGTTTAGCGATTCTGGCACATTTCGGGGCTCCAGGGCCCTACTACTGAACGGGTCCCCTGACACGGGGCCCTGGTTATACCCGACGGATTCGCTGTCGGGGGCCCATCGCCGATCTGTCGGCGATGCCTAGCCGATGCCAGGCTGAGGCGTCTCCCCCCCCCCCCCGAGCCGATCCCCGCCCGAGCAGGGGCCTCCCGGCTGGGTCCGAATAGACGGGATCGGCGAATCGCGCCGCATCGCCCTCGCCGTCGCTCGGACGTTCCTTCCCCGTGCATGTTTCGGTTTTGTGCGCGTCTTTGTTGCTCGATGGTCCGGGATGCTC